CTATCTCATTAATTTTTCAGACTTTTGCCGAATTGTGCGTGATGGCTTTTGCTAAAGGAAAATAGATCAGTTTTTGGGAGGAAAAATGGTGGACTAGGGTTGACCTCCTGGCTCTCTGCTCCCAGAGTAGGAGGTGAAGAGCGTGGACAGCCACAGGTGAGTGAATCGCTCTCCCACAGGATCAGCTTTGTGAATCTGCAGAGAAGCAGCGAGGGACAAGCGGTGCTGGGAAAACAAAAAGGTGAATCGGAGAATTGACCGCAAAGTCTGGAGAGTGCGAGATATACAATAGGGAATAGATCATGGGAAGGTCATGCATGTCAGCCGGCCGGGGCAGTATGATCTGACCCACAGGAGGACGACTCGTCCTCCACTGACCTCCACACCCACACAGGCGGGGAAGAGCCTGAAGTCAGTGTGAGGTGGTAGCACCGGCTGACAGGCTGTGTGGAGTAGAGACAGGAGTGGGAAACATTTTGAACTCTCCTGTGCTCTGTGCTGGATCTGCTTTGGGTGGGGGAGGGACTGTTCCCAGCGGTCACTTCCCAGTTCGGACACTTCCTGGTTCCGCAGGAGGGGGCTTGGAGACAGACTTCTCACTTCAGGCCACCAGGACCAGAACAAGGGAAGTGAACACCATAAAGGAGGCTCTGCCCTCGGAAATCACTGAAGTTTTGGATGGCGCAGGGTGGGACAGAGTATACATCCCTGCTACTGATCACTCATGAGTCAGTGTGTTAGGGAAGCAGTGGGCTCAGCAGGCGGCTCTTAGAGACAGCAGTGACAAACCCAAGTCCTGATACCCGCCATGCAGTCGCCTCCAGCGCCGGCTCTCTGTGGGTGGGCAGCCGCTATTTTGGGAGTCCATAGCCTAAGATAACTGGGGCCTGTTGCCCAGGCAATGGGACTCAAGCATCGCCCCTGCCCCTGCCTGGCAGAGCTGGTCCCGTCCTTGGAGGAGGGGAGCAATGAGAGAAGCTGCTTTCTCTCCCAACCCTGCCATTGGTCTTTTCGAGCGGGTGGCTCAAGCTCTGCCTTTGAAGGGGCGGAAAAGGGAGAGATGTTGCTTTCTTGGCTGAGTTACCAGGTGGTTTCGGGCAGCCCCCCGGTCCCACCCAACCACTGCATTTTGCGCCAAAAGGACAGACCCCGCCTTGGAAGGGTGGAGTAGCGAAGGAGGCTGCTTTTCTAGTAGTAACCCGGGGCGACATAACCACCCCCACTTCTCTGCGACTCGGCTGCCTGGGCACTTAACGCCCCAAAGAAACAGACTCCGCCCCTGGGAGGAGTAGTGAAAGAGGCCACTTTTCCAGCTGAAACCCGTGACCGCTACCACCCCTTTGTTTTGTCTCCGCCATGGGGCTGCTTTGCACCAAAGGGACAGATCCCACCCCTGAAAGGGTGGAGTAGCGAAGGAGGCCCCTTTTCAAGTTGAGACATGTGGTCACCTTTTTGCTGTGACTTGGTAGCTGGTGCCTCCCGCCAAAGGGACAGACTCCACACCTGGAATGGTGGAGTAGTGAAGGAGGCTGCTTTTCCAGCTTGGACCCGCGGTTGCCTCTTTGTTGTGACTTGGTAGCCAGTGTGTCTTGCCAAAGGGACAGACCCCCACCCTTGGAAGTGTGGAGTCGCGAGGGAAGCTGCTTTTTGGGCTGAGACCCGCTGGGGTTGCGAATGGCCCTTGGCTGCGATCAGGCCTCTGATATTTTGTAGGGAAGGGACTGACCCCACATCTGCAGGGGCAGAGTAGTGAGGCAGGCTGCTTTCTGGTCTGGGTCCTTCAGTGGCCTTGGGCAGGGCTTCTCCAGGAGCCCTGAGGTGTGTACTTCCTACCAACTAGACAAGCCCTGCCCTTGGAGGGGCGGAGTAAATAGGGTAGCTACTTCCTGGGCTAAGATGCCAGGTAGCCCGGAAGTGCCCTTCCCCCAGTCTGGTGGGTTATCTTCCCCTCTGGTAGGGCAGATCCCGCCCTTGGAGGAGGGGAGAAATGCAAGAAGATGTTTTCCGGGCTGGGACTTGCCACAGTCTCACCTAACGCCTCTCCGCCAGCCCGCCAGGGAAGACTCAGTCCTTGAAGGAAGGGAGAAAGGAGAAAAGTCGCTTTCCCTGTATGACTAGCTTGAATCTGTGGGACCTTGGAATTACGCAAAAGGGGACAGATTGCTGACTTGGTACAGCAGGTTGGTTTTGATCATCTGATAAGACCATAACACAAGGGCTCGCCCTTGGTGCCCAGGCTGCTGCCAACTTAGGGGCCTGTGGTCTGAGAAGGAAAGTCTTGACCAGAGTCCTTAGTAATTGCACCAATTGACACCCCCCCCCCCCAATCAGGAGCTGCTCTGCAAGAGTGGCAAAAGAGCCTTGAATAACATACTAGCAGCTCTCCCATAGCTGCACATCAAGCAACCTCTGAAGTATACTGTCTTAGGCTCGCTGATACCTGTTGCTCTTCTCATCCCACCTAAAGTGGTAACAGGGCTCAAGTAACCCTTGGGAGTGGCATGATATTCCCCAAAGACTGAGGCACCTGTATATCCCACTTGGGGGTTTAGAGATCAATACAAAGGTATTGGAATACCTTTATAACAGACTCCTCCAGGCAAAATACAAGCAGCAAAAGAGAGAGTAACCTCATAGCCCAACACAGTGCCTTCCACCTCAGACTAGTGGTTGGTAGTGGAGTCACACACACAAGAGTAATCCAACTCCTGGGAGTCTAAGCAAAGGAATGAAACTAATCTCCATAAGCAGAAGGTGAAGACAACAGGCCAGAGATAACCAAACAGGCTAAAACTCCACTAAGACAATACAGGACCAGAGCACATCTCAGCTCTGCCAAGGAACATCCCTTTGGAGTCCCAAAATTAAGTCCATAAACCAGTCCCTGCACCCCCAGTCCTTGACAAAGTAGCCTGATGGGAAAGAATCAGCGAGAGAACACAGGAAACGTGAAAGATCAGAGAAAAAAGTCACCTCCAAAAGAAAATATTCAATCTCTATAAATTGATACCAACATACATGATATGATTAAACTGACAGAGGAAGAATTCTAATTATGGATTGTAAGGAAACTCAATGGAATAGAAGAGAAAACATAATCCCAACATAAAGAAATCACAAGAACAATCCAGGAAATGAATGAAAAATTCTCCAAAGAAATTGAAATACTACGGAAAAACCAAACATAAATCTTGTCAATGAAGGAGGAATTCAAGGAACTCCAAAACACAGTGGAGAGCCTCAAGAATAAAATGGATCATGGAGAGGAAAGAATCTCAGAGCTTGAAGATAATGTCTACGTGCTGAACAAGTCGGATGAAGAAACAGAACTCAGGAACAAGAGACAAGAACAAAACTTAAAAGAAATGAGGGATGTTGTAAAGAAACCGAATCTTAGGATCATTGGTCTTCCAGAGGGAGAAGAAGAAGATATGCAAGGGCTAGAAAACTTATTTCATGGAATACTGGAGGAAAATATGCAAGGCCTGGCCAGAAATCTTGATATCCAGATACAAGAAGCACACAGAACTCCTGGAAGACTCAACGTGAAAAGGCAATCAACACGTCACGTAGTTATTAGACTGACCAAAGTAAACATGAAAGAAGCAATTCTCCGAGCAGTGAGACGAAAGCTACAAATAAACTATAAAGGAAAACCGATCAGACTAACTGCTGATTTCTAAACTGAAACCTTACAAGCCAGGAGGGATTGGGTCCCTATCCTTAATCTACTAAAAGAGAATAATGCCCAACCTAGAATTCTTTATCTAGCATAATTAAGGTTCATCGATGAGGGAGTAATACAGTCCTTCCCAGACAAGCAATCACTGATGGAATTTGCAAAGACCAGACCAGCCCTACAGCAAG